ATGTTTCTGGCCCCCCACACACCGGGAGCATCCTCTAGACCTTGTTTTTACCCTGAGCCTAAATGCTGACAGTGTTTGTCCTGAGGATGTTTATATTTCAGATCACCATTGCATCTTCTTTAACTTGTCAGTTTCTGCGTCCCCACCTCCTGCTCGCCGTATGGTTAGTTCTCGTTTTCTTAATGAGAGCACAGCTAGCACTTTTTCTGCTGCTTTTGATCCACAATGTTCTTCTGATAACGACCCAGATTCCTTAACTTCTCAGTTTAACGAGCACTGCCTCTCCATTCTGGACAACATCTGTCCTGTCAAAACCAGGTCAGTTCCTGCAGTGAACCCTACTCCCTGGTTTAATGACAGCCTTCGCAGCCTGAAGCGCCAATGCAGAAAAATTGAGCGTTTGTGGAAGAAAACCCATCTCCACGTCCATCTGCTGCACCTAAAGTATCTTCTGACATCCTTTAATTCTGCAGTCAGAGATGCAAGAGTTTCCTATTTCTCTGGTGTCCCAGAGCAAAGGGAACCCCAAGGTGCTGTTTAACACCATCAGCAGCATCGTGTCTCCTGCTACTTCTACAGCCTCCATCCACTCTGTTACAGACTGTGAGAACTTTGTCTTTCTTTGTGGACAAAGTCAATAAGGTTAGATCTAGCATCTCTCCTTCAGCCTTATCGCTGCCTCTCCCGACTCCAACCAGGCCCATCATCCTAGATAGCTTTGCTCCTGTTTCTTTGCCTGAGTTAACCAAACTAGTTAACTCTATGAAGACCCCTGCATGCCCCCTCCACATCTTACCCTCATCTTTGTTTAAAAGTGCTTTTCAGTCCATCGGTCCCAGCGTGCTCTCTATAATTAATGCTTCTCTGGTCTCTGGTCAGGTCCCTGCTTACTTTAAGAACGCTGTAATCCACCCGCTTCTTAAAAAACCGAGTCTCGACCCCTCTCTCCATAGCAGCTTCAGACTCATCTCTAAACTTCCGTTCATCTCCAAGATCTTGGAAAAGGTTGTGGCTAAACAACTCACAGCTGCTCTTGATGAACATAACATCTATGATAGCTTCCAGTCAGGTTTTCGTAGAGCTCATTCTACTGAAACAGCTCTTCTTAGGGTCTCTAATGACCTTCTGACTCACAGTGATGCAGGGGACTGTTCTGTTCTGGCCCTGCTGGACCTGACTGCAGCCTTCGACACTGTTTACCATCACCTGCTACTGGAGAGGCTCAGAGACTGGGTAGGCCTATCAGGATCTGCTCTGGAGTGGTTCTCCTCTCATCTCTCTGAGCGCTCCTTTTCTGTGGCTGTCTCCAAGTTTAGGTCCTCCACCACCTCCCTTACCCATGGTGTCCCACAAGGTTCTGTGCTGGGGCCTCTGCTCTTCCTCCTCTATCTGCTTCCTCTTCAGCACATCCTGAGCTCCTTCAAAGGAATCTCCTACCATCTTTATGCAGATGACATCCAACTGTACATCTCCTTTAAGCCCCATGAGATGTCTAAGCTGCAGCTGTTACACACCTGCTTAGACTCTATCAAAACCTGGATGGCTGGGAGCTTTCTTCAGCTGAATGAAGATAAGACTGAGATCCTCATCTGTGCCCCAGACAAGCTGGTTCCCAAAGTCAGAGACTCTCTTGGTCAGCTTGCTTCCCCACACCAAACCTTCTGTCAGGAATCTTGGCGTGACCTTTGACCCGGCTCTCATCCTGGATTCTCATGTCAGTTCTCTTGTTCGCTCTTCCTTCTTCCATCTCAGGAACGTTGCTAAGCTGAGTCCCATTCTGTCCCGCTCAGAACTTGAGACAGTTCTCCACACCTTCATCTCCTCACGCTTAGACTACTGTAACTCTCTTTTCACGTGTCTGAGCAGAACCTCCCTGAACCGTCTACAGGTGGTTCAGAACGCCTGTGCTCGGCTTATGACCAAGTCCTCCAAACACACCCACATCACCCCGCTTCTCCTCCAGCTTCATTGGCTGCCAGTCAACTTCAGGGTTCATTTCAAGATCCTGGTTCTGGTCTATAGGGCCTTACATGGACAAGCACCATCTTACATTGGTGATCTTCTTAGTCCCTACACCCCCAGCAGGTCCCTGAGGTCCAGTGATCAAAGCCTACTGGTTGTGCAGCACCAGGCTAAAGGTCAAAGGTGACAGATCATCTGCTGCTGTGGCCCCCAGACTCTGGACCTCTCTCCCCCTGAGCCTGAGATCAGTGGACTCAGTGGTCTCCTTTAAAAAGCAGCTGAAGACTCACTTGTTCAAGCTGGCTTTTGTATGACCTTCTTCACCTCTCTCTCTTTATTCTGCTCTCCCCACCTATTCCACCTTCCTCAGGATCCACTGATTTCCCTCTTTCCTGTTCACTCTCTCTCTTTCTTAACATTTTTTTAATCACAATTGCCTATTTTTACTCATTTTAAACATATATTTAAACATTTTCTAAATGCTTTTTATATTTTTACATTTTTTCTTTTTGTGAAGCGCCTCGTGATTTTTATCTTGAGAGGCGCTATAGAAATGATATTTTCTTCTTCTTCTTCTTCTTCTTCTTCTTCTTCGTCTTTTTCTTCTTCTTCTTCTTCTTCTTCTTCTTCTTCTTCTTCTTCTTCTTCAGGGCCTCTAAAAATGTTAATACATTTTAAAACTTACACATTAGAACTGTTGTGAGTGCTTTTTGGCACAGCCTGATGTTGATTTAATGTAGTTTCAGACGAGTAACAACCTTTCCTGTAATAGTTTCATCACAAACTCTTTTAACTTTTTGAAATTTACCCTCATTTAATTCACCCCATAGTCCCCAAATTCTCCCAAAGATCTCTCACATCTTGTGACTGAGTTGAGAGGTTCCAGACAGCTTCCTGACTCCTTTCTGACACAAACGATTGATTTGGATCTACTTTTGTCTCTGTGTGTTTTCAAAATGACAGCCACACCAGAGTTAGGCTTGACGACTCATCCAAGCATAGTTGCAACTTCTCAGGAACATTTTGAGACTTTTTGGGGAGCTTCTCTCTTAATTACGCTTCAACAGTCAGTGAGTTCATGTGAGCTCTTCTGCTCGAGCTCTTCTCGGAGTTCGGAAAATGTCAGGATTAAAGGCTGCAGTGGTTAACATTTATCTCTTTAAACATAATTATCTTCTCAAGGTTTTGTTTAAATTTGAGTCCGTATTACTCTAACCCTTTATCAGTTTGTTTCTGGGTAATAAATGAATAAGAACCTTTACCTGAAGTCCACTAGAACCCTTATTTTCTCTTGTTAGGGTGGTGGCTGTAATAAAAAGTGTAATATATTCAGGTCCTGAGGGTAAAGAGCTTTGATGAAGTGTGAGTGAGGTTTTGCACATTTTTGTCCGCTGCCATAATATCAGTGAAACACGATGATTATCCTCTAACAGCAGAATCAGAAACACATGCCTATCAGCGCCGTGGCCATCGAACACGTGCAGATTGTTTCACTGTTATCAACAGAAGACTGGCAGTCAAATAAAGCCTCTGAACTCTGAACCTTTAAAGGCGAGCGGTGAGGCTGAGGACCTCACCGTGGGAAACGGCTTTTACTCAGTGTTCTCGACTATTTCAAAGTTTTCGTTCTGAAGGTTTGCCACAAATGATAACTGTAAGTAAATGTCAGAGGTGTGAACAAGTCACTGCTTTGCAAGTCACAAGTATTTCCAGTCAAGTCTCGAGTCAAGCCCAAGTCAAAGACAACCAAGTCCAAGTTGAGTCCAAAGTCAATGATGTGGAAGTCCAAGTCAAGTCCAAGTTCTTTTCAAGTCATAATCAAGTCATCTGTCCAACTTCAATTTAATGACAATAATGAACAAATTCCAGAAATAAATCTTCTTAAAGCTTCGTTTGTTTGCTCAAACAAGCAGGAAGTGCAACTGGAACTGGTTATAAACAAAGTGCTGCTGCGTTTAGCAGTAGATCAAACCCAGATCCAAGAATGATTCAGGATTTTTGTCCGTGTCGTGTCACTTTTGTGCTAAAATATTAGCACTATTATTATTATTATTATCGACTATTGCAATTCACTTCTTTATGGTCTCCCCAACAAACTCCTTCATAAACTGCAACTGGTCCAGAATTCAGCAGCCCGTATTATCACCAGGACCCCTTCCTTTCACCACATCACCCCGGTTCTCCAGCAGCTTCACTGGCTCCCAGTTAAATTCAGGTCCATCTTCAAAATTCTCCTCCATACCTTCAAAGCAATCCACAACCTCTCTCCTCCATATATCTCAGACCTTATAAGTATTAACACCCCATCCCGTTCACTCAGATCTTCTTCTTCCATCCATCTTGCGGTTCCTTCTGCCCGTCTCGCTACCATGGGGAGCAGAGCTTTCAGCCGCTCTGCTCCTCGTCTCTGGAACTCACTTCCCCCAGACATCAGGAACATTGACAGTTTTACCCTTTTCAAATCAAAACTCAAAACACACATGTTTAAATTTGCCTACAACCTCTGATTTTATTGAACTGTTTCTCTCTTTGTTTTTTCTTCTTTGGGTTTTATTATTGTTTTATTGTATTTTATTACATGTTTTGTGTAAAGTGACCTTGGGTGTCCTGAAAGGCGCTTTTAAATAAAATGTATTATTATTATTATTATAAAATATCAAATATGCTCAAGTCATCATCAAGTCATCAGATGCAAGTCGATTCAAGTTGCAAGTCATTGGCGTTCAAGCCCGAGTTGAGCCCAAGTCTCTATATATTATATCAAGTCAAGTCAAGTCATTAAAATACTGATTCGAGTCTGACTCGAGTCCAACTCATGTGACTCGAGTCCACACGTCTGGTAAATGTAATAAAATTAAGCAAACTCCAAACATCTAAGGATCTGGTGGGTCTTTATTATCATGTTTTATTTTGTTAGCATCACTTATTTCCCTAGATGAGCTTGTGTCCTGCAGGTTTGGTTGGTCTCGTTATCCAATCATCTCATGGCTAAAGTTTTACTGACACATTCTGACACACTTCCCCCCTCCCCTCCCCAG